AATAATTTTATCCATCTGGAATTCCCACTATGTATTGTAAGGTAACTTACCCAAAAACTGAAGCTTGGCAGAAAGGTTGTAAGCAAATCCTTGTGGAATGAAGGAATAATCAGCCTCATCCTCTGGTGTTACATCCTCAATAGTTAGCTTATGGATTCTAGAAACAGGAACAAATGTATTCCACTCCCTTAGCTTACCTCTCTAGGAGAAACAGGGCTACCTCAAGAGACAAGGTGCAGGCTATGGGTTATGAACAGGCATTATTATTTCTTCTTCCCTTGCCCTGACATCAAGTCAACAACCACCAGGACTATAGGACCACTATTCTTTCAATATTAAAACAAATCCATGTCAGCATGTTGTCTATGAATGGATTTTTCTAGTCAAGGTAGATGCATAGACTGGTCTGAAGAGAGCAAGCAGTCTGCCAGCTTTAGTCCAGTTCTTTACCATTACAAGGGCAGTTGGAACACTGCTGACTGGTATCATTTGGTCAGATTGTTACTAAAATAAACTCTGAATAAACAAACTAAAAAGAAATGCTCCATTATTTTTAATTGATTTAAATTACTTCAAACCAGTATTAAATTCAAAAAAGTATTCTTTTAAATTCAAAACAGAAGACATAAAAGGGTACCAAAGAGGACTTCACCTGGCATGTAAAGATTGTGTCTTCTGAATCTCCTTGGTCTCCAAGACCATCAGCTCCTGTGATGCAATATGTGCAAATGCACCAACTCAGAAAGATCGCACACATACCAGAGCAAGTCTGTCACTGTATATTGGTTGCATATGAAAAGATTTTAATAATTTTTTCTTTTTTAGCTGGAACCAGGACAAAGTCTTGGTTTATATTCCTATCCCCTGAGATAATTGTTCCTATGGATTCCAGTGCAATACTCAAGCCTGTACCTGCTTACTGAAACAAGACTAACCTGCCAATATGGGAGATCTTTATCCTTTCATCTGGGACCACCTCCTTTCCATTTTTCAACCAGATTCCTTTCACGTTTTCATCAGAAACTTCACACTTGAAGACTGCCTGGTCACGTGCCTTCACTGCCAGATCTGCAATGCTCTGATAAACTTCTAGCTTTTTCTCTGATATTGTGAGAATAATTGATACACACAACAAAAGTCAGAATAGCTCAGTAAGTAGATGGTGTGGATTTACTGAGTAGAAAAGTCAAGGATGGAACAAGCTGTTTGTGGAACAGGGAAGCATGAAGGGAAATCCACAGCATGCAGGGCTTTAACAGGGGTGATTGCTAAGCACCTGTTGTTATCAGAGTGTCTGTTACATCCAGCACACAGGTTTGAGTTCTCCTTGAGACCTTTATTATCAATCTCTATGACCCTTATTACGTCTTCTTTTTCCCTGGCATGAAGATTATGCTACCTCTATGCACCCTGCTAGAGAAGGTTACCAGCAGCCTGTTTTCATTTTTCAGCTTCTCTGGTTCTGTCATATTCCCCCATGCCTACCTTGTACAATTAGTTCAGCAACTGACACTCCACCATTGGTCTTCACAGTGTAGTGTCCACTATCCTCCTTGGTTGACGCATTAATAATTAGATACTGCTTCTTTCCATCTTTCTTGAATCGATATTTGAATGTTTCTTCTCGTGTCAGTTCAATTCCATCCTTTTCCCTGCAATGCCAAACAGTGTTGGGTCATTTTTAATATGGTTGAAAGAGGAAAGTAAGAGTCAGCTCTATGTTATGAGAGCCTGGAAGACAGAAAGTAAATCCAATCTTTGCAGCATTGCAAGTTAGCATAAAAGAGACTTGCACAAGTGTTAGTGGAACCAGAGTGATTCTAGCTTGACCATTAATTTTCACTAGGTATTGGACTCTGGTTCAAGGGAGTTCACTCACAAGGTATTACTTGGTTGTTACTATTTATATGCTATAGATACACATGATAGTATGCTAAATGCTGTAGAAGAGATAGGGATGAAGACACACTTCACCAGCAAGGAGTTTACTGTCTTAAAAGCTGCCACGAGGTAAGTGGGACTTGCTGGGAAATTCCTTAAAGGTCTTAATTTTCCTGGTTTGAGTTATACTTGTTGTAAGTTCATGGTTTGTGGGTATCAGTAAAAGAAGAAAATTCTAGGATGGATTTAAATGAATGCGTATTTTGAATTTTGCAGCTCCTTCCATTCAAGGATGCCACAGTATATTTAAGACATTACTAAATGAAGCTTCCATGCAGCTCAGGAGGAAATTTCATTATTGTAATTTTCAGTTATCATGAAGGGAAATGTGCAGGGAGGAATTATGCTGTTTAGTCAAGGTCATACAGAAATACATAAGGCGTTTTAAGGATTTCCTGTTCCTAATCCTAAATAGCATAAACAGGGTACAAGAAAATAACTTGTAATTCTTGAACTTACTAATTTTGCAGCATTTAATATTTTCATTATTGTTTGAATATATTTCTATTATGTTACTTGAATATTGCTGCAGTTTGTAAATGAAAAATTTTCTCTTGGATACACATGGAAAAACAAACAGAAAAGTTGTATGCTTTTAATAGAGTAAGAATGTTCTTTCTGTCTTTCCTTACTTGTTACCAGTGACTATTTAGGTTAGCGAATGAGCTTACAGGACAGCAAACTGAAATGCTACTTAGAGACTCATTAAAATATGATAGCTTTAATTTCCAGGTAGATGTATGCAAGAAAACAGTTGCCTCTGTTAAAGTCTGCTAAAGTAAATCACAAGATCTAAACTTTAAGCAGAGACAAGAATTCTACACGTTGTGGCATAGATAGACTTGCTGCAACTGCATTTCAAAATACCTACAGGTTACTCCCTCCTATATGTTTGTTAGAGCACAGCTTATTGAAACTTAGAGTTGGTTTAGTAAAAGTCTGAACTCTCTTCCAGGTCACAGAATAGCACCAGTAAGGAAGGAAACAGAGGATGCCTTTAACAACCACTTGAAAGACAGAGCTTAGTGCTATCGTCAGAATAATGTTTCCTCTTCTTGCTTACTGACAAGAGTCTGAGGCCACGTGCGAGATGCTCTCCTGAAGCTGATGTTCTGATTCATGCAGGTTAGATCTGGAACAAGTGGTACCATGCCTTTGTGCTAAACCTTTGCTGAACTTGTGGAAGCAGCCTGGAAATTGCCTTTGTTCATGTGCTTGTGACTCCAATCCTAGGTTTGAAGGGTGCAAGAGCTATAACAGGTGCTCTGAGATAGTGCCTGTTACTTGGCTTAAGCTGTTGAGCATTTCCCTAATGAGCAATAAGACTGGAACTCTTTCCACACAGGTTTCATGTTTTCCCTGGAGACTTCTCTTCCTTGTCCAAAATGCTCCCTTTGTTGCCAAAGAGCATTGACTGAGTCTCACATAACAAAACTAGTAAAATGCAGTGTAAATCTCTAACTGATCAGTTTTCCATTGCAATGATTTGATGAGTTTCTCTGACCACTTGCTACATTTCAGGCTGAGACAGCTGCTGCTTTTGTCTTGTCACACCAGATGCCCATCCCACAGACAGCAGCTCTGCAAGATGTATGGGAGTTGTTCAAAGGCACAGGATCAGTGTGGCAGCTGTCCCTCTGAGAGGGACAGATCTGGTTGTCCCCATCTCTTGTGACCAGGCATCTGCAAGCAGCTTCTGAACAACAGTATGTGTGTGCCTATGCATGTGCCTTTAATAGTGTAATGCATATGCTGTACTAGCTCTTGGGCGCTATTTAAATTCTCAGTTCCTTCCTTTGGGAGAGCAGATCACTAGCTGGCACTTTCCAGGAATGTAATGGGCATTGTGGGAACACTTAATAACCGTGTGCCTGAAGCTGTTAACAAGCACAAGAGAATTTCATCTTGTAGAGAAATGAAGTGAGAACAGTGTGTGTAAGATACGGTATGTGAGCCCTGCTTGCCATGCCTACCGAAGCAATGTGAACCTTTTAGCTTCTGCTCAGTTGGAATGCCCAAGAAAATGGAGTTCATGGTTTAAATGTTTGTCAGTTTAATCTGTCTCACTGCATATGCATAATGACAGGCTTTGCAGGATCACAACAGATATGTTCCCTGTCTCAAGAGACACTAACTTTTTACCTCAGAAAAAATACTTTGAAACCCCAAACATCTCACTGCATCTGAAAAGAGCAGAATATTCCATAAAGTATAGCAAACTCATCACAATACAAATCTGATTAGTCTGGGCAATGGTTAGACGTTACTAAAATGTAAACACTGAACAAGAAATTCTAGAGACATCATAAAATACCTATACACAGTTTGGGTTTTGTGTTGTATTTTGGCCTCTCAGTTTCTCCTCAATGTTTGGCATATAGGAGGAGGATCAATCTTTCCCTGAAAGCAAGTATGTAAGATGCCTTATTCCTTTATATTCCACAATTCTTGTCCACAAACACTGGTCCTGCAAAGTTCCATGGAGGGATATGGTTTCAGGTTGGAGGTTTTTTTCTTTTTCTATTCTCTTACCATTTCACAGTAGCTCCTTCCTCAGACACTTCGCACTCGAACTCCACTCTCTCTCCAATCATCACCATCTGGTCCTCCAGTGGGTGAGTGATCAGGATTGGAGGTTCTGGAAATAAAGAGACTTTTATTAAAAGAGCATTCTGAAAGACTGGAGACCAGAGGTAGATTTTACCACACTACATTTCACAAGTAAAGCCCCTAGCTAAACACACAGCAATGCTCTCTTTGTTGGAATGAAAAATTTACTGTGCCAGATCACATTACTAGAATTTTCAAAAGACCTTTTGGTTTTCACTTCACGAGTCAGAATGAAAACATAGGATTAATCAGTTTTCATATATATCTTGAAATTCTGATCAAGAGGCATTAGTTTTCTGTACTATTTGATCTGCTTGTACAGCTTGAGGCACACGTTTATCTTGAGCTAAGTTTCTAGCACTATTGCTGAGAAGACACAAATTACCTTCCAATTGAGAATCAATGGTAACTATTGCTGTGCTGGTTTTCTGTGCTTTCATAGTTGCAGTTCTAATGAAAATTTTCCTTCATTTAAATGTAAGAAAAACATCTACTTCAACAGATCTCAGAATTTAATATGTTTGAGAATTTCCTTTCCTACAAGATTAACTAATCTGAGAGTAAAGAAGTAGTTCAATGACAGTAATTCAATGCTAAATGTTAGGGAAGATCGCCTTCCTTTTAGTACCATTCCTTACCTTTTACAAATAATTCTGTGAAGCTCTTCTCATCCCCTACCACACACTCATATGCTGCATCGTCGGCCAGAGAGCAGTGGTTTATGGTCAGTATTCTCTTATTCCCAACAGCCTCAAAAATATATCTGAAAAGAGAATGTAAATGTAATTATCAGAGAAAAACTCTTTTGGACCCAGTCACTGTCTTCTCCTGCCTGGCAGAGAAAAATATTCCTGCTCCTTTTCTGACATCAGTGGCAAGGTTATACTATATCCCTGTCCTTGTGCAGTGGGCACAGCACTAGTGTTTGAAGAAGTAGGGTAGGAAATTATGTGGAAATCTTCATACAAGTCTGAGATATACAAACTCCTGTGAATGGTGTGGAATATTCTTCTAAGACCCAGCCTGACCACCATTAAAAATGGCTTAAGCACAGAATCACTGGAAATTGGTTTTACAATCAAGTTACACTGAAGTATATCCCATATCATGAGAAAGTACTTTTGAACCCTGGATATACACATAAAGACCAGAATATAATCTCAGGACTTACTTGCTAAGTAGGTAGATGTAAGCATCCAGTTCCACATGTAGATATATAGAGCAGGGGGAAGAAACAGAAAAAGATCATAAGAATAGCAAACTGACCCTGAGCCATAGCACTATGTAGATTCTTTCTCAGCTCCTATTTCTACCTCTTGTATTCCTTTATATTTAAGAAAAGCTATTTTTTCCACTTTGTCCAAGTGGCAGCTCATTCCTTTTTGGATTTCTCATATTTCTCGTTTACCTGCCGCTCACTTGGATCTCCTGTCCATTCTTCAGCCATTTCACATCAGCATCTGGATTGGCAACTTCAACCATTAATTTAATCTTTTGCCCTTTGTCTACTTGGTAAGCTGGATCCAGTTTCCTGAGGAATGCTATGAAAAAGAATGATTTTTAAAAATCTTAATAATATTTATAATTTTTTTTTCATTCTGTGTCATGAAAATACATCTTTATTCCCTTTCTTGTTGTTTACCATGATCATAGACCTTCTCCACTTTCTGCATACCTGTTTGAATTTTTATCACTTCTGTCTCTTCTTCATCCTGTGCTGTTTTCTGTTTTTTCTTAACATAGGTTGAAGAGCGTGTGTTATAAACTAAGCAAAGTATAATATTCTAAATGAGATGTGAATATGTACTTCAGCACATCCTAAATAGAGTTACAGCTCCATCTACCTATGTAAGAAAGTGACACTTGATCGTCTCAGTAGTTATGAATGGCAGTTTGTCTTTGTTTCAGACCTTCAAAGCAAATTAGTTACAGTAAGGCAAATAACACTTCACAGGACCAGAAAAGGCTCTAGAATTCCAAATGCATCATAACAATGGAAATTAAATTCTTTAAATGCATCACTGATACCTGACATACTGACCAGTTTTGGAGGGTGGAGAGTGTGGTTTAATGTTCAGGGAAATATAAGAGGCCAAGCTGAAGAAACGAGTAAAATGAGCACATTCAGTATATCCACAGTTTCCAAACAGGTATCTCAGAGCTTTGGACATAGCTTCAATATTTCATAATCAGCATCTGATATGTAAAGACTGTAACAACTGGAACAGGAAACTCCTATTTCTCATGCTCATGTATCTGGCTGCTGCCTAACTGATGTTAATGTTTGGAAGACTCCTCAAAAAAAGAAGACATGAACACTCGATTTGGAATAAATACACCTCACCAACCTGTACTTTTTTTTTCTTCCTTCTTCATGCGTTTGAGGCGTTTCAGCATCCCACGCAGATCCGTGATACCATACTGAAAAGCAATTTTCTCGTATTCGGTAGGAGGAGCTTTCCTCAGGATATCCCAGACATCAACATCAGATTGTGATTCAGGTTTTGCTTCACCTCTGCAGAAAGGGATTATAGTCTGAGTGCCACTTGAGAGTAACAACAGCTATAGGCTTGGCAGCTACATATTGGCTTAATTAAAGAAATCAGCAGTCTAACTTGTTACTATCTTATTAGCTAAAATAATGAAACTAAGCTGGTGATTAGTTTTACTTATATTTATACACACAGTGATTAAAATTCAATTGCTATTCTGGAGGGGTTATTTCCAGCAACCCAAACTAATAAATTTTAACTTTCTTTTAAAGATGGGTAATGGAAACACAAGAAGCTTTTTCCTGTCACAGTCATGCACAAAATATGTGGCAAAGCAAGGAACTGAACTGGTATGCTGGAATGCCTTAGAAACCAGGCAGTTGATTTCTGTAAAAAAGAAACACTGGGAAAGGCATTCTTTTTCTGCCATTGTATTTTTTATTTAAAAGATCATAAGCAGAAAAAGAAATCGCATAACCTTACCGATTGACGGAGCGCAAGAAGCTGCTGTACTCCAGAATGATGCAGAGAACCATTTCGGAAAATACGCAGCATCCCCATGGGCAAGAGAGAGGGCATAATGTGTTAATGTGAAAGAGCTGTGAATGTCATCTTCAGCCTTGGCAGAACATGCTTGTGCTGCAGGAGCTCATGCAAATGCTCTGAAATAGGCTTAAGGAGAGTGCTGTTTCATACTGAAACCAAACTCACCCCCACACTTTGTACAGTTCCACTGTGAAATTTGTATTGTAAGTGCAGGTACTTCTGTTTATTCCTAATCATGGCTTAACACCTTCTAGGAAAACAAACAATTTTACTCCACCCTGTCATCGTGGAGTTTTTGCCTGTCAGAGTTTGCATTTTGGTAAATAGAGAAATGATGGAAGAATTAATATTTAATAAAAAATTTCTTTAGGAAAAGGAAATTCCTGTGGCTGTTGTTTCTGATATCACCGGGACCAAGCATGTTCTAGTGCAGCAGAACACATCCTTTTAGTGAAACCATGTTCGGTGGTAAACCCCAGCCAGAAGACAAGTTATGCAACAGGTAATGCAGAGAAGTCGAATGTTATTGCATATATTTCAATTTTTTTTCAAGAAAAGAACACCCCAGTTAGTCTATAAGAGAAATTGCTATTTAATAGTACTACCGTAGTCAGTCCAGAAAGCCAAACATTTGTGGTCCTCCTTCTATTGCCCAGAAAAGGTTTTTTTTGTAATGAGAGCGCTATGTTTATTAAAGTGCTTCTGTCCAGGCTTGGGTTTTCCAGCACCCTTGTAGCTCTTGAATAGCAAGGAAGCAAGAGAAGAGGATCTCAGCTCAGTGAGTTTGAGCTGAAATACGGTATGCAGTGTCTTATGTCTTTGAAGAGGTTTAGCACTCAATAAGCACCAAGCCCTCTCTAGCACTCATTGAATTGACAGGAGTAGCAGGTTTGGAAGGTTCATGATATGTGCAGTGTATTGGGTATTTGCTTTGCTGTAACACAACATCAGCATCAGCCACAAATTTAACCAAGATTCCTCTTCTCTATGCATGTATCATTTAGTTTGAGGCAGCTACAAGGTAGGAAAGCAAAAGGTAGGAAAATTGAACTGATTTGCCATATAGACCAAGATTGTTTTAACATAAACAGTTCTTGGGCTAGTTCTCCAGATCACATCAATGAGTGACTATAAAAATTATTAAATACATGTAAATCAAAATAGATACAGAAGTACATGAAACTAATCACAAGAAACAAGGAAGGCTTAACAGTTTCAAATGCTGTTTTCCCTAAGACACTGTATAAATACTGGTGGTCTATCTGCTATTTGCAGGCTCATCTGAATATACACCCTATATATCTGAAAATTTTTATGTAGGATTATTCCTAGAGTTTTCAAAAATATTTTTGACAGTTATTTTTAAGTACATCATGAGAAAAATCTTCCAATTTGGAAGTAATTCCAGTCTAATATCTCTCACTATTGAGAAGACTTTCTTAATTTTTGCTTTAGCTTTTCCATTATTCAGTGTCATCTCATTGTTTTGTCTGGCAATACTCTTGATGCATGTAAGTTGAAATACATTAAATCTGAACATAAGAAAGAATATGGTCTCTTCCTTGGAAATGCTAATATTTTCTAATGCAGGAAAAGGCTTGTGACTTGCATGTAAAATGGTACTAAGAGCTAAAGGTTGTGATTACTGTTTGAGTTCTGAAAAATAAAAGAAAAAGATGTCTTTGCCTCTGAGCAAGGTTTCCCTGTCCTGGTACTCCTCAGTGTTTCACATTTGTTAAAATGTTCTCTTAGATCCCATAAAGACACAGAGCTCGTACAGTGAGGCTGTGTTCTTCCACTGCCAACAGCAACTAAGCAGTGTATGAAAAGCAATAGAGCGCTTGGACTCGAAGTTTCTCCCACCCTTATGTTACTTTCCCTGATGCTGGGGATTCTTATTCAGAGTGATCACCTCATAGGTTAACTATGCACTTGGGGGCATTAAGATGCAGCTTAGTGAACCTGCTGTAAATGGAATATGCAGCTGATGTGTTTTAAACATATGTGGAGGGGTTAAAAATAGTGTTGTACATCCCAGAAATGGTTTCTTCCTATCCCATTACTGTCAACTGATTGGACCCTGTCAGCTGTTACCTCCTTCAAGGTCTCTTCTCTCTATCCCATTTAATAGTTCTGTTACAGCTGTTCTCTTCCTCTTCCCAATGACCTCTCCTTGGCCTATGACATCTGTATGTCAACACCAGTTAATTAAATTACAGTGAGAGAAGATACAGTAGTAAATGAGGCTCTTTATTATGGTGGGAATGGTCATTACCTCTGGATTGAGGGACAGTTGTAAATCAGGTGTGACAAAGCAGAAGTGATAAAAGAATAATCCTCAATTCTATTTGAATCTGCATAGCTCTTAGGAGTTCCTCAGCATGAGGGCCTTTTTCTTATTCTATCTTGATGAAGAATTCTTTCATCCCTTGATGGGATTTTATGCCTATCTGTTACCATTAATATAGGAGTGGTCTTCAACCTATGGCCTGCAAAGCCTGAGGGTTCCACAAATTGCTTCTGAAGTGGCTGTGAAAAACAACTAGGAGCGAATTTGCCTGCTTAAATTTACTAAAAGAGATTTGTAAGTCAAAAAAGGTCAAAAACACTGATAAAATGCAGTGAAATTTATAAGCTGCTTTAATGAATTGTATTTCTAGTCTAATAAAGAGCTAAATCTACAAATTGAACATTTCTGTAAATACTGAAGATTTTTACTACTTTTTAGAGTTTGATCACTGCTCAAAACTAATTATGAAAGCAAAGACATAAGACACTAGAAGAGTGGCTCATAGTACTCAGCATTTCATTCCAGCTAGAGACTGTGTGAAATTATGCAAACATTTTCATGTTGGCTTCCATTTATTTGATTTTTTAAAAAAACCCCAAAACTTCCAGCAATTCCTTTTTGCCTAACATTTTCTATAGAAATTAGAGTGTCTGTACAACAATTTGGGGTTCATAATGAAACAAGAAACTTTGATATCAATGGCAGCTATAGAAAGTTGGATGGGTGTCCTTTCTGTTGTGTCCAGCTGCCCCTTAAGAGTTCTGGCTGTGGTGATGCTGCAAAGCCAGAACTCCCCTACAGCTGAACACATAATGCGTAATACAGGGCTTTGCACACATCTGTGACCTTGTTTGCCCCACTAAAGTTTGGGTGAGCTAACCTGACTGACACATCAGGCTATTGTGGCTTGTATTGTAACTGTTACTTCTTACGTCTGCACGATTCTGTACAATTTGTGAGTATAAACTGCTTTTTATAAACTGTGATACCAATACTTGAGCGGAGACTCAACACAGGTTCAGAACAACATTCACTCAAGAAGCTTATTGTAGAAACTTAAACTGAGTAAGTTTAGATTTGCACAACATTGCTCTAGTGACAAGCATTTATAGTAATTCAGGAGCTGGAAAAAGAGTGCATGAAACCGTGAACATTAAAAAGCAGTCAAAACATCAGCACTGATTTGATAGACACCAGCAACAATGTTATGCAAATGATTTTTCTGATTCTAATTTCTATGACAACAGGAATTTAAAGCAGCAGGTTATTGAGAAAACCTGGAAATTCAAGGGAAATTTAAAACTACCCGTAAAAGGAAACAGTGGTGAAACCCAAAGGACCTTCAGAGAAATAGATTGATTTTACTGAGTTGTTCATCCACCCTTAACTTCCACTGTTTAAAAGCATTTCTGTCTCAGAAATTAACTGTTGATAGTTTTCTTTCATGCTGTGCAGTTTTTGTCATGCTCTACATGTAAAGAAGACAAAGAAGCATGCATTGTTTCAAACCAAATAGGTCTCATACTCAGTCTGAGCCATGCATTCACAATAAAATGAAATGGAAATCTTACTCTCTGTTGGCAACAGTGAAATCCAAGATGACCAGATTAAGAGTTTGGTAAAAAGAGAAAAACATAAGTAGACAGGTTACTAAAACAGATACATCAAGGAAGGATGAGAATTGGAGAGGAAATTCCCCCCAAAAAAGTGAAAACAAAAGTGAGAAATAAGAGTTACAATTGGAAGAGTAAAAAATGTCTATATCATATTTATGCCACATAGAATATCTTTTTATATACACAATAAGCAGCTGTATAATATATAGTTGTACAGTGTAAGAGTAACATTTAGGTATCTAATAAAAAGGCTTGTCCTCTCAGCTCTCTGATGCAAAGTATTGTGAAAACTTAGGACAGAAAATTCCTAGTAAGGTGGCATGATAGATAGGTATTGTAAAGTGCTGTGTTTTGGTGGGGTTTTTAATGAAAAGTGCTGCTGGAAACATTTTACATGAATACAAGCCTTTTCTGTCTTGGGAAAGATAATTCTTTTTTCTTTTTTTTCTCCACTCTAAACCTAGCAAAAATGAAGCAAATGTTTCAATGCTGTGTATTTCAGGAGGTTGCTGTAATTACCTGTCATCTTTTTTTCATTTAGAGATGCTTTAGGAAAATGACAAGGATTCTGAACTTATGAAACTTTCAGGTTTTCCATTTTTAGTATTTTCAGAGTTGTTCAGGAGTTAAAGAGGTTACTTTATTTCTCTAAGGATTTTTACTTACCTTTTTTTCAGTAGGGAACTAAAATTAAACTCTGCCCCTTCATCATGTCCTTCGGTACTGTGCAGTAATAGAAAACCATAATTAGTTTCAGAAGGAAATGGGAATAGCTTGTGAGACTATAATATTATGCAGGTGACATTTTTGTAGGGGTGTAGTAGGAGGATTCAGAATGACTTAGAATGTTCATTGACATGGAGGATGACTTAGGCTCTATGCCCATATTTGTCTTCATACAGGCTTAAGAAACATATACAATTAATTTATTTTTTCTGTACTGACCATGCCTAAAGTTGTACAGGATATTCATTTGGTGGTTATATTGATTTGGAATGCATTCATTATCATAAGGATGCTGAAGAAGGTTTCCTCTTTCCTCTAGTTTTCAGTAATGTGGATATTTACACTGTGGGGTAGCATGTAATCAAGTCAAGGAGAATTCAATATTGCAGAAACAAATATTTTTAAATGTAAGAAGAGCCTGAACAGATAAATGATGGGCATTTTAACAGTACTGTTAAAAAAAAAGGAACAGAAAGAAGTGCCAAACTTTTTGCCCTGTCTGATGATGCAAGGTTAAATTACAATTTTGAATATGTTGTGAGAAGAGATCTTTTCATTAAGAAAGTTTTTTTTTTACTTCTGTGATTACTTTCAAGATAGTACAGTACTGGAAAGGACAGTTTCCTGAGCATGACTCTTAACAGAGGAGTGTATTTTTTTGGCCACTTTGTTCCCTACTTTCAGAAAATTTTCCATGTTTGCAGGCATAAAATATACATAAAAATCACTAGTATAATCCCAAATTTGAAACAGGTTTCTTGTGATCAAATATTCATGAGTCTACAACTGGGGGAATAACTAGCCATTTTATTGCTTCTCAGGTGCTAGTTAAACGAAATGTTAAGGAAAGCCCAGCAATCAAGGTTTAGCTTTTCTGAAGAACAAGACCCTAATAATTGCTTCAGCATGCATAGAGCTAAGTCTAATCCCAGACTAGAATGATATTTTTAATGCTGCCATGATAGAGTGTGGCAGGAAACAACAGATTTTCATATACATGTGTGTTGGTACACGTCTGTAAGCCACATCAGTTTTAGTCAGAATGTGCTCAGGGGAGAGGAAGACGTAAAACAGAGAGGGCAGACATGCATATAATTTGAAGTTACTTTTTTTCTTCTAACAATGGTGAGAAGATGCCACTTGCCAAATACATGCGTTTTCTGTGGATGAATCTGCCTCTCACTGAACTACCAAATTGCTCTTTGTTTCCATATAATTTTTTATATTTTATCTTTTTATTTATCTTTATTTGTCTTACATTGCTACTTACTTGTGTATATTCATCTCATATAAATGCTACAAACAATGATTTATTTGGAATTTAAGCTGCAGCTTAGTTCTGTGGCTTTTTTGTTTTGTGTTTTGTCTTTTTACTTTTCCAAAGCAGAGAGAGACAGTTCATTTTAAGCCTTGAAGTTGTCCGCTGACACAGACAGTCACTACCTGAGAAAGGCTGAAGTCATCCGTCTCCCCCCTCCTGCTAGGCTCCTGAGTGAGGGTAGCAAAGACAAAGCTTCAGATTTAAACAGTTCAGTTCAAAGTTTGGCTCCATTCTTGAGAAAGAAACTGACAATCTGAATAGCCTGAAGCAGCTCACGCTGCACTCACTCTGAACCAGTCCTAAATCCTTCTAATTGTATCAGCAAGGACAGAAGCTCTTGGAGCCTACTGTCACTACAGTGATGCAGCACAGTGCAGTGCCACAGTGCAGGTCCTCTCACTGATAGGCACCGTGGTGAGGCTTCCAAAGCCTCTGTCAGAAATACTCAGACTTGCCACGGATGGGTTGTGCCTTGTGTGAGAGAAATTGATGTCCGTCAGAATATTCTTGGTCTAGAAACTTTACAAAAATATATAAACACTAAAACAGAAACTGAATTACATGAAAGGAGAAAAAATATACAACCCTTTAATAATGTTTAAGTAAAATTTAAAAGAAACCTAACCAACCTTGTGCATTTTACTAATAGAAGGGAACACTATTCCATTAAGCCATACATGAATTCAGACAGTAGTAAAGCTGTGGGGAGAATGGCCTTTTCAGCACCAGTGTAATGCCCTGCAGTCTTTACTGTTTAGGACTGCATATATCTGAATTTTTACATGGACACTTACAGTGTCTTTGCCTTAATTCAGCTGATATAGGTATGGAACATGAAAACAAACACAATCAAAATGATGGCATGAATGTTATCAGGGATGTGCTGCTTATAATGCTCACATCAAACTCCACTTCCTTGTTTAGTAAATGTTTATACTAAGGTACATGTAGCTCCTCAAGCCAAACCAAATCAAGACTACACACCACACAGAATCTTTTCCTTCTATATTGGTCTATGTCTGGAGTGCTTTTTATATAGGTCTGGGAAAAAAGGTGCGGAGGTTCTTGTTAGAATTATACACAGCATCAACTGCATAATTGTAGACTAGCATGATTATTATGCTAGTACAAAGTCTAAACTCAGGTGATTTCTAGGAGTTGTATAGTATTTTAATAGTAGAAATATTTTCTTAATACAAATATTTTCATAGTAGACGTCTGTATCTTTGTGCTTGTCTGTACAATAGCTTTGCTTTTAGTTAGTTTTATCTAGGATAGTAATTAATTCTGCATGGAAGTATAATTTGATCTACATAGGCTTCTACCGTGCATACTCACGTGCGCCGGAAGGCAGCTCGAATATCCAGGTCTCCAGTTACAGGGGCTTCTGATGTGGTAAAAAATGAAGAAGTAGAATGGGAGAGCAAGTCAAAATAATGCAAAAATACAGTGCTATTGCTAAAGTTTTTCCCTTGCAGACTTGTCTTGCTAAATTTTAGTTTCCATACCAATTTCACAGGATATTTAAAGCCTAATGAGAATGCAACTGGATGTCAGCTGAATACTATTATCAATAATGAATTATAATCTCTCCTCTGAAAGGAAAGGTAAATTCCTGAACAAAAGTAGAGATGTCCAGAAACTTAATTGAGGATGTTGCATAGAGAGAACTTTATTACTGCATTGGCACAAATTGGTGGGCTGCTGCAACTGGGAGAAAAACTGTTCTCAGTTGGTGCTCCTAAATCTTATGAGTCCTACAGCCAGCTAGTGAAACTTCAGAAATTAACACTGCTGATGGAGTCACTTCAATAGCATTTTGTCTTTGCATTAGGTTCACTGGTAGCTGGACACAAGTTGATGTTTCAGTCCCTTCAACAGAATCGCTGAAACAGGAAATGGTCCAAACATTCAGCCAAGCTTACCCTGTTTTACTTAAACTCTTCCACACTAGGGGCAAATTGATGTTAAAAAGGACTGTCATTTCAGTTTTCAGTAGAGCAGTTGTGATTGTGGCACCGTGTAAAGTGAGTCATCTAATCTTAAAGCAATTTTATCTCACAAGTTCTGCATGACTTGATGCAGAAGAAAGGGAAAAAGGAATTAACAATAGTTTCACATGGTCTAAATCTTTCCATTCTGCCCACTCCAGTTTTTTTTTCCTTAAGTAGCCATTTTTAGTACTAAAGTTTTGCCAAAGTAAGAATGAATTTATCTTTTATTCTAGTAGAATTATGTATCAAGAAAGAATGGATCTGAAATCAGAATAAAGCCAGAGAAAAGGTGAACTGATTTGCATCTTTCTGTGTGCCTTCTTTAAGAGCATCACAGTTCTGACTTGAGTGACAAATAAGTGGTACTTCTAATGATATGTATCTTTGCCAACCCATCCCAATCCTTATCTGTGAACCTCTCTAGGTGTTCCTTTAGCTCTTCAGGTCTATACTTCGGATTTGTGCTTGTATGTACCAGCCACTATGTACCAGAAAGAATTGTTGGTGGGCAGGAAGAAAAAAAAAATCATAAAAGGAAGAAATAGGATAGCAGGAATTCACCTTACCATTGACTGTCAGGTTGAAACTAGAGCTATCAAACTTGTCCTTAGTAGACACTTCACATCTGTACCCTCCTGCAAAAGTCATGTTTGCTTCTATGATTTCCATTTCAAAGGTGTACACCTAGAACAGACACCAATGATACAATTCATAAGTTGGAAAATGAAATAGTGAAACAGAGAGAAGGAATACATGGAGAGAAATAGGCAAGGGATGAACTATGCCTTTGTGTCCTTTTAGAATTAAGAACCTCCTGAGTGTCCCACTCATTGCTGTAATAAAAAATTACCTATAGCCCCCAATTCAATGGGAACATGTAAAGAGTACTGTCAGTACAAGTATTCCTGAGGATACAATTTATATTAGCAAACTGTGCTGGTGTACTGGTGTGTGCAGTCAACCTGTACACTAATTGCACGCACACTGGAAACAGGAATAAATCTTTCTTTAAACAGTTGTAGCCTGTACCCTGAATGTATACAGTACATGCCAAAATTCAGCAAAAGGAGTGGCTAATGTGAGCAGGTCTGTTCAGTTCCATCCAGGAGAGGGTAGTAGCATCTCATACACCACACATGATGAGAAGTCATGGTACAGACTCTTGTATTCCTGTTCATGTATCTTAGAATGCATTTGTGGTAAAAAATTGATCTTACTCCACTATTTAAAGTAGTATCTTAAGTAGATACTTAAATATCTGTCTAATTTATTGTTTTCTCTTAAATATATCAAGTATCTATTGCTTGAGAGGAAGACAGAGGGAATCCTGCAGAAGATAATGCAAAACTACTCCCCCAGTCCTCCAGACATTTCCTCATTTCACCATAAGGTATAGAAGGGTCTGTATGTAGAGATTGTCTCTCATCCACATGGTCAAAACATAGACTTGTATGCATAAGTGTAGCACTGTGTGTCATTTTGGGTACCTTGATATCAAAACATTCCTATATTGACTTATGTTTACCCCGGATTAAAGATTAATACTTAGACGACTGAGAACCCTATTCTGCCAAGTGTACCTTGGTATTTCGATCGTAATTGTCATGTATCTGGAGATGTTTCCCCACTTTGCTTGCCAGGTCCATCCACTTTCCTTTGAACCATTTCACTGATGGCTTCTTCAACAGGCTCTCACCTGCCACTTTGGCAGTGAATGTGATATTTCCACCTTGTAAGGAAAGTAGGTTGAAATAAGATTATGTCTAATTTATGCTATATCACAGCTGTCATCCTGTGCATGGAGAGCTAAACAGTGAAGAAACGGGTACAGTTTACAAGCATCACTTGACTGACATTTTGTACTCACCCACAGTAACTTCTCCATCCTGAGGTCGTGTCACAAAGAGCCCAATGAGGTCCAGAGGTTCTTCTGGTTGAGTTTCAGAAGATGCAACTGAAATAAACATCAGAATTACTCGTTATGATTTCTTGCATCAGCCTATACAGTGAATTAGTTAATTAATTTTAAAATACCTCAATAGGTTTCTTTTGTCTCTGAGATTCCTTCTTCTTTATGGTCTGCTTTCAAGTACTATACTCTCACTTACACTAAGGATTCCCTGTTTGTTCTTCCCTTCTGCTAATGAACCAAGCTTGATGACAGTGTTGTCTGTTACCTTCTATATTTTGGCTGCTTTCTACTGGTAGAGCAGGTGGCTCTGATGCAGCTGGGGCTGGAGCAGCTTCTGCCAGAGTGTCTGTCTCACTTTTTTCTGGAAATGAAGTTAAGCAAAGATTAGAGAAAGTCATATTTCTACTTCCTTCCTGAAGAAATTTTGCAAAGGAACAGCTTTCATGTATGTTGGGATATGTGGAGAAATTAGTTGTAGATTCCTAGAACTTAGATGTGCTGGAAGCAGAAGGGGCCTACTTAAGCTGGATGATGGGGCTCATTCTTTTGCTGAGCTTGAAAAGAACTGATGCCTGGATTCTTAAATTATGTAGTCTCAATGTGTTGAAACTGGTCAGCTGGTGAGTAATGCTATTACTCAATGCTAACATCAGTGACCTAAATAGAAAAAGCAAATAAAATAATTAATTATTATCTTTGTAAACAGTTTGCTTATTCATGAGATTTTGCTTAATGACTGTTGGAATTGTAAAGATACAAATGCTATTGCTGTGTGCAGCTTGGAAAAAGCTCTAGACACTGCTAGCAGTCAGTATGGATAAAGTATTGTAAAAATCCCTCTGTCCTTTCTTCCCCTGCCTTATGGAAGTTTGTGTCCTCTGAATCAAACTAGGACCTCACAGACAAAGTCAGGCAAATGCATTTTGCACAATGGAGAGGACAGAATTGTATGAAAATGGAGTAGGAGTGAGCAACTGGAGCAGATGGAGGGAGGCAGAATTTCTTGAAACAGATCAGTTATAGCAAAATTTATTTTTTTCCCCATAGGTAGTGGAGCCACTTCCAAATAATAATGGGTAATCCAGTTACTCTGTAACAATGTAATCTTACCAAGGTCTGAAAATCAAGACAGTAGCTGTGAACATATGAACACGAGTCAACCCTGCTCTCAGAGAGTTTATGCCTGTTATCCTAAACTGTATTCATGCCTTGAAAAAAAACAGTGTGACTTTAAATTGTTATTATATGAATAGTAAGTATCAAATACTAAAGCTTTTATTATTAGAAGGCACTCCTTTAGCACTTGTCCAAATAAATTTCACCTCAATTTTTACTGGAAAGAACCAAAAGTTATCCTAACTGATGCAGGGTAGATGCTCCCAAAACATGGACACATAGCCTTTAGAAAAGGCTCATTCTGAGGCATCAATATGTAATGTATACAAGAAAATTATCTCTCCTTTGGCATCCTGATATCTCCATCACCAATGTGTGCTTGTCAGAGGTGTATTGCTTTTAGGTAATGATGGCACTCCCGAGTTCAGTAACTCCACAATTTGCAGGTTTTCTGCCTGCAGCAGGCTCTACCTGGAACTAACCTGAAAGACAATGAGGAAGATATAACTAGTACAATATGGACCTGTTTTCTTTCAGGATGAGAGAGTCAGCAGGACCATACTTTTATGTGCTCTGAGAGCTGTCAAATTCTCCTAATTCATACTAGGACTTCCCCTTCCTCATAATCTGTCATGTACTGTCTTTTTATCTGGAACAGCATGTCTTGAATCCTGGTAAACATTCATGAGTGTTTTCAGCTGACCAGAAGATGTCACAAGATCTCATCATGTTGCTAGAATAAGCAGTGATAACAAAGAGGATGTGATCTAAAACACCTGAGCTTGAGGATATTCACCAAAACAAAAAGCAAAAATTAAAATACCAGAAGTGGTAAGTGAGGATCATTTTGGAGGGAGAAAAAGGGATAGGAAATGTCAAAGTGTTTAAAATAATTAGTAATTTCATCTAACCTAAGCATCTTCAGACATTTTGCATGAGAAAATTCGAAGGAATTTGAATCCTTATCATTTTTCCCAGGAAAAGCCTGGGGAAGCTTTCCAATTTCCCATCTAACTGATCTTTTAGTGCATACAGAGGTAGTAATGATAGATGATATACAAATAGTACAAAGGTTTCCCTTCATATTCAAGTCCCTCTTGAAGTATTTCAATAGACAATTTGGGGGAATGAATGAGCTCCTAGAAACATTACAGCATAACTTGTAAATTTTTTTTGTCAATTGTGAAAATGTTGTATTTAAATAAAGTAATTAGAAGAATATACCAGGCCTAAGCTGCAGGTGTCTCAGTGTAGGTCAGGTTAGGTTATGTTCACTTTGCCTAGTTTGTCAATAGTTAAGTGTAAAAGCTTGACAGAGAATTCTGAAGATGTACATTGAGATTTCTTCTGTGATCTCCACTGTGTGGACTTCTGACATCTGGAGATGGGTGTCTTAGCCACAGCAAATGTATTCCTCAGCTTAATATGAATTAGAAGCTTCAAATAATTGGGCAAAAAAGAAGTGCTAGTGGCAGAGAAATTTTGCAGTGTTAAGATAGGGTAAGTTCTGTGGGCGTCATTCATGAAGCTTGCATGTGGGACTGGAAATACTGATGAAATCAGAACTGCTTAGAAAATGCCGTACCTGGTTCCTTGACCTTGAGTTCAAATTTGACCTTGGAACTACCAGCTATTACAGCATATGTCACATCATCTTCTTTTCCTACATTATTGATTGTCAGTGAATGCTTGTTTCCTTCTGCCTTAATGACATATTTCTCACTTCCAGTAATTTCGGTGCCCGCTCGCTGCCATTTCACCTTGATGCCAGATTTTTCTGTCTCTGCTTCAAACACAGCTGTGCTTCCAGCTGTCGCCTCTGTTGTCTTCGGCTTCTTGGTAAATGCAGAACCTAAAAAAAGAGAGAGAGCTCACTAAAATCTGTTTTGCAATTGTGGCATATCTGGTGTAGTCAGCTGTTGTGGCTGCAGCAGCTGTCTCCTTTCTCTCCCATCTGCCATGTGAGATATAAATTACAACACTTTCCACAGAGAAGTTGTGGAATTGTCTTTGAATTTACTGAGTTCATTCGCTGACGGAGATGTCATATCTTCTCCATATTGTGATAAAGTGGAACGGATAGCAAACACAACTCACTGTCTGTCTTCGTCTTGTTCTTGCCATAATGAGCTCTGATTTTTCCTAAATTACTGTTTTGACCTGTGACAAGGTGGCATGATATATATTCGTACATATCAGCTCTCTATATTAATTTGCCATGCAGTTTTATTTAGAAATACTAATTTTGTCCTAACAGTTGCTTAATATAGTTGTTAAAGAGGACCAGGATCTGTTGCTCAATAAAACTGGAGTTTATGCAGTAACCTGTGTCCCAATATACCACAATGAATTAATGTTCCATCTATAGTCTTTCTGTTTTGACTGATGAAGGCTTTAGTGGAAAGCAATGTACATTCCTATGATGACCCTTGTAATTTCATTCCAGATAAAACTGTGTTTTCATTCAAAAGTTTACTTCATTAAAAGTTGAAGTACTTGCCTCTGTTGTGCTCTACAACAACTAGTTCTCTAATTACTTACAAGGTGGATTAAAATATTTCCTCTATGTGTCAAGAGACACTGATGAAGCTTACAGTAAGAATTAATGAAATAATTGATACAGAGGGTGAACAGGCATAAACCAAATTAAGTTTTAGTTCATGTGTAATCGAAGTAGCACAGCAGATAAGAAATTGCAAAGCAAGAAATCTGTTGTGATCTTGATCCACCAGTATCCTCTTCTTTCTCAAGATTAGTTATTTTTAAGGTAACTTATTTTACTAATTTTTTACCCTTATTTATTCATTTATTTATATTTCTTCATCTTTATTTTGAATCAGGTTTTTCATTTTATGCTTATGTTTCTGTCTTAATGAAATCTGTCATCTTTTCATTGATGCAGTGTATGTTAACCATTGCAGAAGGGTTACTCTAGACAGTAGGTTTGACATACAGGATTCAAAGACTTGTCAAGGTGCCCAGCCTACTGCACAGCAGAAAGATAGGTCAGTTCTGGAACCCACTTCTAAAATACTGACTAGCTGGCTCCTTTCCCTATGATTCCACAGACAAAGCAGCAAGGAGGCATGTTTTTTGTCTCTGAGTGCTATTATAATCACACCTCTATTTAAGCACAAAAGACTCTACAAATATAGTTATTGCTTGACAGCAGAGTGGTCTGTAAAGCTTCCAGCCTACAGTGGCACGGCTGTACAACATGGGTACTTGGAAGTAACTCTCTGATCTGCTGCACACACTGCGAAGTGATCAGGTTTCTTATATTTACTTTAGGCAACTCGACAAAAACAAATTGTTGGCCAGAACACAGTGAGAAATCTCCACCACTACTGAATATTTCTGCCTTTTGGGAAATCTAAATGCATATGTAGAAGTTTACAAGTAAGTCTCCTTGTCTTTTTTCCCCCTCTCTC